TTTGGGCTATATATATTTCATGTGTGTGTTGTTTCAGTATAAACAACATACATGTCTGAATACTATATCCCTTCTATGGAAGTATTATGATGTTATCTAGAAAGTGAGTAAGACCTTCCAATTTGAGTACTCATTACAAATCCTTAATCTGGATGGATGGATATTTAACTGGGCCTGCATAATTGTGCCTCTTTTGAAAATGGGACGCAAGTCCATTTGAAGATCTTACCCAGAGATGACCAACAATTAGGATTTCTGGTTTTTCTGATTCTTTTACTGACTCAGAATGAGTGTAGACAAATTTCTTACATAATAACATAAGAACGGCCGTACTGGGTCAGACCAAAGGTCCATCTAGCCCAGTATCCTGTCTACCGACAGTGGCCAACACCAGGTGCCCCAGAGAGGATGGACCGAAGACAATGATCAAGCGATTTGTCTCCTGCCATCCCTCTCCAGCCTCTGACAAACAGAGGCCAAGGACACCATTTTATCCCCTGGCTAATAGCCTTTTATGGACCTAACCTCCATGAATTTATCCAGCTTCTCTTTAAACTCTATTATAGTCCTAGCCTTCACAGCCTCCTCTGGCAAGGAGTTCCACAGGTTGACAACACACTGTGTGAAGAAGAACTTCCTTTTATTAGTTTTAAACCTACTACCCATTAATTTCATTTGGTGTCCTCTAGTTCTTCTATTATGGGAACTAATAAATAACTTTTCTTTATCAGCCCTCTCCACACCACTCATGATTTTATAGACCTCTATCATATCCCCCCTCAGTCTCCTCTTTTCTAAACTGAAAAGTCCCAGTCGCTTTAACCTCTCCTCATATGGGACCCGTTCCAAACCCCTAATCATTTTAGTTGCCCTTTTCTGAACCCTTTCCAAGGCCAAAATATCTTTTTTGAGGTGAGGAGACCACATCTGTACACAGTATTCAAGATGTGGGCGTACCATAGTTTTATACAGGGGCAGTAAGATATTCTGGGTCTTATTTTCTATCCCTTTCCTAATAATTCCTAGCATCCTATTTGCCTTTTTGACCACCGCTGCACACTGCGTGGAAGTTGTCAGAGAACTGTCCACGATAACTCCAAGATCTCTTTCCTGATTTGTCGTAGCCAAATTAGCCCCCATCATACTGTACGTATAGTTGGGGTTATTTTTCCCGATGTGCATTACTTTACACTTATCCACATTAAATTTCATTTGCCATTTTGTTGCCCAATCACTCAGTTTGGTGAGATCTTCTTGGAGTCCCTCACAGTCTGCTTCTGTCTTGACTATCCTAAACAGTTTGGTATCATCTGCAAACTTTACTACCTCACTGCTTACCCCTTTCTCCAGATCATTTATGAATAAGTTGAAAAGGATTGGTCCCAGGACTGACCCTTGGGGTACACCACTAGTTACCCCTCTCCAATCTGAAAATTTACCATTTATTCCTACCCTTTGTTTCCTGTCTTTTAACCAGTTCTCAATCCAAGAAAGGACCTTCCCTCTTATCCCATGGCCATGTAATTTACACAAGAGCCTTTGGTGAGGGACCTTGTCAAAGGCTTTCTGAAAATCCAAGTATACTATATCTACTGGATCCCCCTTGTCCGCATGTTTGTTAACCCCTTCAAAGAACTCTAATAGATTAGTAAGACAGGATTTCCCTTTACAGAAACCATGTTGACTTTTGTCCAACAAATTATGTTCTTCTACATGCTTCACAATTTTATTCTTTACTATTGTTTCAACTAATTTGCCCGGTACTGAAGTTAGACTTACCAGTCTTAACTAGGTTGGGCCTTGGTTTACCAGTATGTACAGTGGGTATAAAGCTCCAGGGGATAGCTGAGTTACTCTGTACAGGATAAACTTAAAAAACAAAAATTGGTCTGGTAGCACTTTCTAGATTAACAAAACATGTAGATGGTGATATGAGCTTTTGTGGGCACAGCCCACTTCTTCAGATAACTGGAGTTTTGAGTTTAAGATATGCAAACACCCTTCTGCCTTCCTGTTTTTCCCTTTGATTTTTTCATAACCTCTGCTCCTTGTTTTCCGCCCCTCCTCCTTTTTTTCCTTCCCCCTTCTCCCCTAGTCATTTTGGGTCTGCACATTCTAAACTCTGGTCATCTGGTCGCTGATTACTGTCATTAGTTGCAGTAGCTCTAACAATATGCATGGCAACAGGTTACGTTGTCCAGCAGTTACATGAATTCATCTTTGCCAAAGAAATGAGTAACGCTTGTAGAATAAAGGCTACTACCTAGTTTCAGGTAATGTGTGCATTGGAGTATTGGGGGGTTTTGTTTGTTTGCTTGTTTAGATAAATTAAATGGCTCTATCACCATGTACTCTAGTGCCTGTCAAATACATATGCACTCTCATGTGCCACTCACGTTTAGGAAAAAACAATTGCCTCTGAAGAAAGGAGGCTAATAAGGTCAGTACAGAGAGATTACTTTTGTTGTTTCATCTGCTTTATTATTGTTAAAAATAATGTATTGAGAGCTGTCCATAGCTAAAATGGTGTTTTTGCACTTCTCATCTTCCTTGAACTTTAGAGTATTGTATTTGTCAAAGGCAGTAAAAATCAAGATACTAGGTTTTTTACAAATCCATGTTATTCAAAATAATTAATCTGTTTGCTATTGAATAAGATGACTAAATGTTCAGTATTCAGCTTCCTGATTCTCTGACAGTTCTATTAACTGGTAAGTAAGAGCACATGTGTCCCATTTATCTAGAGAAAGGTGAAACGGCATAGGCAGAAATATCATAAATAGAATGTATTCATTCCCCATAATGATACTTCCCACAAATCATATGTATTAAGCAAGCACTAGTTAAGGGAGCATAATGACCCCTTTTGGCTCTTGTTTAAATTCTTCCACTTCTCAACGGTAATATTAATGACAAGCAGATGGTGCACGATAACATTATTTATGCACATTTGGTTTTTTTCTAAAAACAAAATTTAACCTATTAACTGAAGTGGTTTAAAAAAATAAAAAAGATTAATTTACTAATTGTGTGATTCCCCACACACGCACTGTGAATACATGATATCTCATTAAATGAAATTCTCTGCCAAGATTTCTGGGAGATCTCTGGAGCCAGTGAGCTTTATGGCAATTATTTGTTTAAATATTCAATTTATAGAAGCCTTTAAATCAATTGTGTCCAACCAGTTCTGAAGCAATAGCCATTAGAGTGAACTAGCCATACTTAACCGGCCAAATAGCCATATGTGACTAGTGGCTAGCGTGTTAGGCACCATGGCTTTAAAATACTAGGTAGATATGTCTGTTGACATTTTTTCAGAAGACAGTTAAACATAATGAATAGGATTATTCTACTGTTCTTCTTAGACAGTCATAACAGAGGCATGTTGGTGACACTCCAGGCCTAGTTAAATTGAGAGTGGTCATCCTGCAGTAGAGAATTGTATATAGTTTAATGGATTGTCACAAACAGACAATACTTGAGTCTTCCCAAAATTTGTATTAGAAAAAAAATGTTGGTTGAAAGAAGACTGAGGTTCTTCCGACTGCATAGGTAGTTTTAAATCAGTATTTTGTCTCACGTGCTAGTGAGGTAGGTGAAAAATCATTAAGTGTGTAGCAGGCAAGTTTAATCTATACAGTTGAAATAAGGATTATGTGAAATAAGAACTGTGCCCTTGAAGCTGTGACATGATGGAGTTGCGTGATGTTGAGTTTGGGGTACCAGGGAGAGAAGATTGCAAATACACTAATGTTATTAATAGTATCTTAAAACATAGAGAAGATAGACAAATTATTGAAGGCACTCCCCTTTTATATCTATATCTATATATAGATAGATAAATAAATAAATAAATAAATAAAAGCTTTATTTTTGTCCCAGACATCAGAGCATTTAATCAGCTTGTTAATTGAAGTTATATACTTTACATTACAAAGACAAATTAAGCAAGCTACTGTGATACCCAGAAAACATCTGCTAAACAAAGCCCAACTTAATGATAAACAAAATTAGGTTCTCTCGGAGTTGGTTTTCATCCATCTGCACCCAACTACTGTTCACTTTTGAAGACGGCAATGAAAAGCTTCTACTTTTTATTCATAATGCCATGAGAAAGCAGCCATTAGACATGTCCACTGTACTCTAATCTCTGCACGTTTTTGATCAGCATTGTACCAAGTATTTATCATGTATTCTGGCCAGCGTCTCTGGAATGGTAAGATATGCACTACAGTGGATCCGGTACAGGAAAAAATTAGTTTATCTACAGGTAGAATGTACAGTAGTCAATGTAATCTTGATCTACTTTTATTTCATGTCACAGAATGTTAACATTATAATCTCTGCATTGATGGGTGGTTCTTTTAGTGTGGTTATTGGTGTATTTCTCTGTGGGATTAGCAGTGCATTTCGGTGTGCTTGTGGCAGTTCACTTACATGAGAGCATTGAGATGATGGGAGGGGAGCGCTAGGCCTGTAATGCAGCTGGGCAGGCAGATCAGTGTTGACTCCAGTAAGGCTCTGTGTAGGCATACAGTCCACCATGTGTGGATCGGGCTGCAGAATCAGGGCTAAACTGTGCAAGTGTATTTGGGGAGGGAGTATGAGAGAGAGAGAGAGAGAGAGAGAGAACACGAACACGCACGCTATGGGGGTGAGGGTGTATAGTGTGTACACGCAGGCACAAGTAATAAATTTAAAAAAAATCTTGTTACCACTGCTTGAAATTCAAGCCATGGAAGAGACAAGGGGATCAATATCGGGTTTATAAGAGGCTTAGAATAGAACGGAGGTTTAAATGATTGGAATCCAGTCTCAGTGCGGAAGTAGGGTAATGCTGAAGAGTATTGCCAGTCAAAGAGATGACATTTAAAATGTCTATTTGAAATATTGGCTATTAAAACCCTATCATGATGAGGGTACATGTTTATCTTTATCTAAAAACAACATATACAGAATAACTTGTTTGAAAGCCCTATTTTGTCCCTTTCTGGCAGATGTGAAACCCTCTAACATGTTGGTGAACACACGGGGACAAGTGAAGCTCTGCGACTTTGGAGTTAGCACCCAGGTACCCATCCCCTTGAATATTTGCCTGCTCCTTTTTTTTTTTCCCCCTGAAAAATTAAATCACCTGGCTGCAAGACAAACAGGCCCACAGCAAACTCGCCTCGGCTGGGAGAGTGTTATTCATTTGTAATCTCCAAGCGACTTTCCTTCATCAGAATATGATTGTTCATTGTTTAATGACAGTAAAAACTGCTGATATTGTAATTACTACTTACGAATAGCAAACTTCATTGATATGCAGCTTCGATATGAAAGCGTTTTGGCCAGACAAAAGGGAGGGCAGAGTGAGAGATGTGTCTGGGGAGCCCAACTGGCCCACAATAAAAATTAATATTGGTAGCAACAATAGTGTTGGGCCTTTACAATGGGCAGCACAAATTTTAATTAATTTCCATTTTGGGCCTCCCTGGAGATCCTCTGCGATAGTGACCCATGAGCTTGCTGTGATGTTGATTTGAATTGCAGCCACCTTTTCTCTCCGCCAAACATGAGGACCAAAGAGAAGGTCAGCGTTGTATTATAAGTTGTCAAAGTCTGTTGTCCCTCCAGCGTATTTAGTGCTCGTTGCGTTCTAGTAATGAATGTGGCTTTATTCACATCTTGAGCCAGCTGACTGAAAAATGACTGTGTTCAATCCTTCTTCAAATTGACTTTTTATATCAGACTGGTTTGGGGGGTACTAAAGCTATAAGCATCCTGTTTAACGGAATTGTTTTAAGGTTATCTGCTATAAACTGTATTGCAGTGCTCAGTTTAAATTGGAACGTACTTTCAAAAGGAAAGACAGATTTAATCATTTTTAATGCCTTTGTAGATAAATTTGTTCCCTTTTACATAATTTTTAGTTGATTTATAGAAATGATTATTGTAGGTTAAATGAGGAATAATTGCCCATTTTATTTCCACATTATCTTTATATGGTTCTAACAGACTGTTTTGTCTGATAGCTGGTGAATTCTATAGCCAAGACGTATGTTGGAACAAATGCTTATATGGCGGTAAGTAAATTTATGCAGAAATAACATTTCAACAGAAGTCTTTGTATATTGCTTTGTTCTATGTGATGTAGGATATATTTTAAATCAGGGGTTTTCTTAAATTTCTTCCTCTTTGCATCTTAATAGAGCATGTCCCATCGAAACTGTTCCCCTTCGCCATCACACAGACCAGCTCCCCTCCTACTTGTGATCAGACAGAATATCTATGATAGTGGCAGAAATTGCTGATACAGAAAAATAATACTGGGAAAGTACTTATTTAATGTATTTTTAGTTGTCTTGAATGGAACAAAAAGCTGAGAACAAAAAGAGGAGAGCTAATACAATATAAACAGCTTGCTCTCCATGTGTAGCCAGTATGTGCTTGGCGGATCACCAATGGTCCATTGTTGCTCACAGTTTGGGAACCAGAGTTCTATGTCACTTCAGCAAACATTTAAGCATGTGCTTTAGTCCCATTGACTTCAATGGATCGAAAAATGTGTGCTTAAGTGCTTTGCTTGCCTAAAACACTTTCTATGAGATCTAGTCATGGTTCAGTTTGAAAATGTTTGTGAAATGTTTGTGTGAAAATGCAAAGTTGGAGCATCCACCTTAGTTAACCTCAGTGACAAAGATTATTTTGTAATATAGGAAATGACTAGAGAACACAAGTATTATACCGCTAAACCATTAACTTTCATGATTTCAGTGTTTCTCACTTTCATTCATTGTTTTTCCATTTAACCAAGAAAATGTACATGCTGTGATGAGGTTATATGTATGTTTTGTCTACAGGCTACAGTATATATTTTTATTCATTTTAAATCAGATTAGCAAACTTTTATCATTTTTCTTTCTGAGGACTTCTGTGGTATATTAAACAGATTTGATTGTCAGTTTAAGTGATGCCAATTCCATTGAAAACATTAGGTTTAAAATTAAATAAATAACATGATGGCCCTAGGGTTGCCAGGTGTCCCGTATTGAACCGGACAGATAGGTATTTTCGCCTTCTGTCTGGTAAAAAATTCAGAAAATACCGGACACCTAAAATGTCAGGTACTTTCTGATATTTTCCTGGCCAGGAGGTGAAAATCCCAGGCTGTCCGGCTCAATATGGAGGCAGCCTGATAAACCCTAGTGCTCACCGGGTTCCACAGTGGAGCTGTCCGGCCCTGTATAGGGAGACAAGATGGCGGGCAGCCGCCAGCAACCTGTTAGGGCCAAAAAGCCTCACCACACATATAAAGGGGACACTTTGTTTGTTTGGTTGTTTGGTTGTTTGGTATTTTTTCTGAAACCATCTGGCAACCCTAGATGGCATAAATAATATGGAGAGTTTACAGCAAATGAATGTTTGTCTTTACCAAGGTTAATATGAGTGATTGCACCTGCCCATTTTGTAGCGTATGAAAACTTTGGTACATCAGTTGAGAACTCACAATTAGGGTGGAGTCCTTGTCTAGTGTTTAAAATGTAGTTTTGGCAGAAAATTTGTTCTCATATGTAAAAATAAATGGGAAAATAGATCCTACGCTTTTTAAAGGACAACCTGCAAACAATACTGTAGTACAAAATGCCTAGATTTGTCCTTTCAAATTCCAGAAGATGGAAGGGAAGAGGGGGAGAAATCTGTGACCTTTAATTGCTTTTATATATTTTTCTTATGTCCTTGTTAGCAGATAACAAGCAGGCAGTCCATTTATTTGCTAAGTGTTTTTCTAGCCAAGAAGTGCACATCATTCAGCCTCTGAAACAATCATGTCACCATCCTAACAAGGCTTAAACCACGCTGTGTGATCAGAATATTAGATATGGGGAAAATTTAAAACAAGTCAAATTTATCACTTTTGATACCCAGGCCTACTGATTGCTAAAGCTTCAGCTTCTAGAAGACCTGAAATACTGTGATTGCTAAAAACTCCCAAACCTTTCAAATGACTCCACTTCTCTAACTCAGCGCTTATTCTGAGAGTGGCTTTAAATAGCTCTAATAATTAAATTGTATTATTCGTTTAATGAACAAATCCAGATTACCGTTCTTCTTCCCAGGTGTACATTAAAGAAATTACTTTTTTCTTATTGTTTATGGATGAATGTGATGCGTCCATCTGTTAATTGAAAATGAGAGGAGTCACAATATTTTATAATGTATCAGATTTCATGTATTAAAATTGCTTTGCTTCTGAAGTGAGTTGTTGCCAGTCATCAAATTTGAAATCGTGTGTTTTGTACCAGGAAGCAAGACCACGTATTTTGGCGTGGAAGTATGAAAGCAAAACAATGTTATGTAACACTTCAAAACATGGGACTAGATGAACAGATGTAACTATTTTGTGCTCCTGCTTCAGTGGTGGTGGTGGTGTTTTTGAATATTCAGTGGACTCTGTTTTGAGGAATTTAAAACACCCACGCATGTTCACCTGAATGCACCCGTGTTCACAGAGATGTGTGTTTTGTAGTCCTATTTTAACATAAGCTTCTTGTCTTGGTTACTGGCACAAAAATCTCTCTCTCTCAAATAAATCAGTACTCGGAATTTGGTCGTTCAGTTGAAACATATATAAAAATATAGTACGGGTGTATATCGTTAGGAATTTTATACATGGACATGAATTGTTTGAAGTGCGTTTTGCAGGCAGATAGGAACCATGCTGTCTCTTTGAAAACTCACCATCTATTTTATTATTAGAAAATTCTAAAATGTGCATAAACTGTGCAATATTTAGCATCATCCTGTGAATTTTGAACTCTCATATCCACAGTTGTTGCGAATGTTAATGTTAAGAAAGATACCCAGTAGTTTAATTCAGTGCTGACTTGCTTTCATAATTAATATCTCCAGTGTTTAAATATTGTTCTATTCATATTTTGAATATTTTTAAGGATATAGGATTATTCAATAATTTTGTATTTTTTTCCTAACAGTAACTGGCATTTTACACCTGGCATGTGGGCTTTTGAATGTTTAATAAAACATTAACTCCTCTATAACTGCTAAATAGAAAGGTATTTAGACCAAAAAACATAGTCAAGGATATGTAACATATAGCTAGCCTTAACCTTTTTCGTAGTCTGTTTGTTTGCAAGGCAATGTTCTCTCTAATCTTTTTAATCGATGTGTGGATTTTTCTGTCTGTGGAATAAATGTGTATGTGCACTGAAACATGTGAATGTGCACCACTAGTAGGGGAAAAAAAACCTAGCTGCAGATGCTCTGCTAATCAGCTGGGTAGCATTGGAATCTCTCCAGAGTGTCTGCACAGGTGCATGGCTTACGGGGAACACCGATGCAGGGTAACAATTTTACCTTGATTTTGATGGGCAAAGTCATCTAAGTGTTCCCCACTATAACACTACTGTTAGGGCCATTGCATTGAAGATCTGCAATACTTTCAAAATAAAAGGAAGAGATAGATCTTACAAATCAAACTTGTAAGATATACGCATGGAAACAGTCTCTAAACCTCTATTATTGTATCCTGATGGTTGAAGGAGTGCCCTCTTGTGTTGCTGAGTTATTAGTCTCTAGATCTTAAAATATGCCTAACAAACACTGAGTCTGGGGGTATTGTTAAATTGTTCTGGTTAAATAGCTATATTTGATGTATTCATTCTATGTAAATATTCCATTATTCTTAATTAAGGTGTTCTCATTTACTTTGTTAGTTTGTATTTCTTATTAGAGTAGATTTTTCTTATTAGCTAACGTTCTGCATTTGTAACATCCATTGTGTTTGAGGGGAGAAACCTCTGGTTAGGTGTCCTGCTACAAGATGTGTGTGTCAGGGTGATTATGAGTGATACACTCCTTGTCTTGTGACCGCGACATTCTCTTCAAATCTGAAAATGGCTCAGAAATGCTGCCTCACAATATCAAGAACTAGCTGAATTGTTCATTGGTTTTGTCTTCCTTTGGGTCATAAGAGTGAACCATTGTATGGTAAACTGTAATCAAATGAGAACCACTTGCGAAACTTGCATGGAGCTTTTTACCTAACCTAGCTTTCCGCTGCATGACTGCATGGACAAACCAAGCAGTTTGATGTCACTGTCTGTATTGGAAGGGTCATTTTCTAGAGGTGATTGAGATAAGAATGTTACATAAACATTTCAAAACAAATAAACTTTTTTATTTCATACAGAACTTTTAATTTTTTTAATAAATATTCCTTAACCTTTTTTGAATTTTTTTCAAAAATCACATTTTTAATATTTTTGTAGGTGGGGAGATGCTTTCCTTTACATCGTTCACTCCTTATTCCCAACCACTGCGTTTTTTCTAGTGCGGCAGGGGAATAGCAGTGACCACCAATTTAAAAAGTATAAGAGTGGGATTTTTTGCCATCAGAACAAACATACAAAAATATTTTGATCTGTGATTTTTGTTGTTGCTAAAACATGAAAAATTTCAACTGAAATAAATTTTTGTTTGAGAAACTTGGGGGGGGGGACAAATTTGGAGATGAACGTTGATGAAAAATTTTTGATCGCCTCTAGTAATTTCAAAGACGCACATGATTTCCAGTTCGCCTTGCTCAGGATGCTTCTTTGTATTTCACATTTTATGTTTTTACTACATGTAGCTTTCATTTTTTATTTTCGTCTAACTTACTATATTTGTTCCATATTTTAACAGAGGAATTTAAATTTGTAATTCATGGATGTGACAAGTTTTTGTTTAAAGGCCACCATATTTATTTGCCACAACACTCCATGTATTTCTAAATATAAATTATTTTACTACCTTAAAGCCTTATGTTTTATGAAAAGAAAGTAGATCATTTAAAATGGCCATATTGAACGATGTAGCTGATTTTGCGAGGGTCTATACAGGTTGAATTTTTCTAGTCTTGGCACTCTCTGGTCCGGCAACATCCATGGTCCAGCGTGGGGTTTCCCATGGTCCCATAAAATTTGTTTACAGCAGCCTCAGTGTTCTATGCTGTGATTTAGCTCTAATTTATCCCTAAATGTCTTCTCGGAGCCCAGCAAGTTGTAATGCCGCTAAGTGTGCGCTTGGTTTTGATACTTTGTCTACTTACTTCCTTGTGCCAATACAGTAAAACCATGTAAACACATTAACACTTTATGAGGAGAGCTGATAACCCCTTGGCTAGGCATAGACTTACATAGAATGTGTCAGTACAATTATATGTTGTTAAGCAGCATTGTGAGCGCTGTTCCATTTATTCACCTCAGAAAAATAGAAATAGAGACCCACTTGCTACAATATTGACCTCCTGTGGTCCAGCTATTTCTCTGGTTTGGCAGCCATCAGATCCCGAAAGTGCTGGACTAGAGAGGTTCAACGTGTTCCAGAAAAGGTGTACCTGTATAGGCATGCTGGTATAGTGTTAGTGGCAAACCCTCCTAGTGTAGAGAGAGCTTCTGCCACAGGAGTGAGCAATAAAATGGTGGCAGTTTGGCAGAGCTAGGCCCTGGTGGGCCGCCACCTCTAGATTTACCTGCACCTGCCCGGGTACAGGCAACTACAGCTCCCATTGGCCGCTGATCGCCAAACCCAGCCAATGGGAACTGCAGGAAGTGGCACAGACTGGGACACTGCTTCCTGCAGCTCCCATTGGCCAGGAACCACAATCTGCAGACAACGGGGGCTGCAATCGCCCGTACTCACAGAAGCACAAGTAAATATAGTGGTGGTGGCCCACCAGGGGCTCCCTGGGGAACCGGATCCAGCCCTGTTCTATCGGCAAAAGATCCCTTTGCCAGTGTAGCTTATAATTTGATTCATGAACTAAATAGATTATAGTGTCCACGGCACTTTTTGGCCAGTATAACTTTGGCCACGATGGGGCATTTGCCCCTATAAAAATATCATAAAAGGATCAGACACCCAACCATAGCTATCGCTGAGTTCTTTTACTTAACATTCATGCTGTGATAAAAGCCCTCCACCTGGGATTAGCAGTGCAGAGTAAACATCCCCAAACACATTGGACTGGCACTAATTTGGGAGTGTGTTTTCTGAAAAGGTCTCTGGATTATTAGAGACTAGAAATACAGCCAGTGGTTTGTAGGTAGATGGCTAGACAGGTGAATTAATAGCTCAGCGGGGAGAGAATTCTCATGGAGCCTTTTATTGTTGCATTTCACACTGTACTTGACCTTGGAAAGCTTGAATTGTAGCTTTCAGAGAAAAAACTAGCTGTTTCATTTTACAGTGTTGTATTTCTGTAAATGGGCTGTTAATAGTGTTGAGTGAAATCTTTTTGTATTGTTTAATGTATTAATTGAAGAGTTTTAAAAGAAAACTGCTAAGCATGTGACTCCCTTTTGAAGCATTAACTTACCAACTGTCAAAATTACCTTGGTTTAATTCAGTGTCTGGTTTTTAAACTCCTTCCTCCCACCCCATTCAATTCCGTTACTCAGTATTTTTGCTCATGGTGTACTTACCTCACATTCTGGACTAGAAGTAAATCCATTCCATTGATGGAGTCTTACAACCTGCAGGTGCCCACTGTTGGTTTCTTTTAAAATAAAATAGTCCAAGCTCCCATTCGTTAGCCCAATTTACTAGATACATTGCCGTACAGAATGGCATGCCCGATTGGCATGCCCCTTGCCCCGTTGCAGAACCCAGGTAAAAATCAAGTGTACCATGTTTATGAATAATCTCGTATTGTCATTATTTTCCAGATTAGACAAATAGAATTTTAAGATTCCTGCAAAATTCTGAGCTAGTTTATTTGCCTGTGGCTGCCCTCCAAGAGAGCTACATGCATGTTTGTTTGTCTAGGCTCATGATGATATTTTCCCCCTTCTTTTCTTTCAGCCTGAAAGGATTTCAGGGGAGCAATATGGGATTCATTCTGATGTATGGAGTTTAGGGATTTCCTTCATGGAGGTATGTAAATAGATAAACTTGCTGATACAGACACTTTGAAAGAACTGAATTAAACGATTAAATCTAAGATTGAAATTATTTTGACATGTGCCCTACAACAAAGATCCATTTGTGTGTATATAAGCTGAGCCATTGCTAAGTTTCTTTGCTGTATCTAGAATGGATGTGTTCTCAGTGGTCAAATCCACCTAGGTGTAGAGAGCCTCTACACACCAGTTAGACACTTTAGTAGGGCTGTGGAGCGAGTATGTGGAGCAGGATACATATGATGAGATTGGGAGAACGCCTCTGCTCTCCCTGCATGGCGGTGGGGTTGTTCTACACCAGGTCTGAATAGGTCCGTGCAGACTGGCCCACTAAGGTGGGCCATCATTGGGCTGTGGAGATGTAGAGGTAAAGCTGTGTAAATACCAACCCTGAACTGCAGTGGAGTTCCTTGTCAGAGAGCTTGTGTCCGAGGAACGGCTTTCTCGCTGTGTGAATGAATATGCTGTTTGAATTGGGCGTTCACCAAAAAAAACCAGCTTTTCATTTGTGTCTGAAACAAAGCTATGCAAGGAGAACAAGGTCAGGTAGAATGATTGTAATTGCAGACATAAGATACATTCTGAAGTGTGATCTTGGTAATTCATTCACAATATGATCCAATGTAAATAGTCTGATATTCTGACTAGCACTCCTCTGATCTTCAAAGCATAAGTCTCATAGTGCTGTGCAAAGGTGAGAACCCTATGGGGTTGAAAACAACAGAGGAGCTAGAGTGTTTAAGGTGACTAGAACTGCCAATCCTTTGAGGAGGAGCTGACAAATCAAGTGAAATCAGCGAGGAGTCCCGTAGCACCTTAGAGGCTAACGCATTTATTAGGGCATCAGCTTTCATGGGTAAAACCCACTTACGCTTTTCTTCTACTTGAGAATGTTTTAAAATATAGTAATACTTTGAGGGAGAGAACTGCCTGATGACAATGACCAAAGCTTATCAAAGGAACTTCTAATGGCTGACCCATATAGCAACAGTGATGGCAACCTTCGTGTAAATAATTTGTCTCATTTTAATATAGGCTAACTTGGAAGTGGCAGCAATAAAATAGGCAGAAGTTTGGAAGAGCCAGCATTTGTGTGCCAGCATGGTCATCACACACAATCACACTAAAAGTCATATCCATAGTTAATTGTACATACAGTGTTTATTAAGGACCACCCAGATTTACAGCAACAGACCATTAGTTAGACTCCTTGTATGCTTTACCTATCTAGCATCATTGGCACAATTCCATTGCTGTTCTTTCTTTCCACCACTCATCTCAAACTCCTAGCCTCTGTGGGAATCAGCAATGCTTCCAGGTTGTCCTATACTTCCATAAAGACTACGCTGTTCGCCATCTAAGTGCCTAGAAAACATTTCTACCCTAAGATATTTGGAATTTATCTCAGAAAGACTTGTCCTGGCTTTATATCCTCTTCCATAAGCAGACTAAGACAAGAAAATCCTACAGATGCTCTTTCATTTTCTTTTATTAGATGTAAAATAATGTTAACTTAGAGTGAAATTCCTTCCTGTTCAGATAGCCAGTGGTGCTGAAATCCAGCACAAGAAAGAGATTAAGTGGGACACAGTCTTTGTGCTGGCCCTCGGCATCTGGGAGAATTTCACCTATAGAGAACTGGAAGTTAACCAAAACTTGTGTATGGGTGTGTAATTTGTTGCCAAACACATCATTCAACTTAACCGGATTAAAAATGTGAGCATCATGTGTTGCGTGTTTAATTTTGAATTATTGCATTCAGATCTTGTCAGTCTTTTTTCCAAGGCTGATTAAATCTAGCTCTGAATATACAATAATGACATATGCTAATGCGTCACAAGGGATGCAGTGCTGTTAATTCATTTACTGCTGTTGGAAGCCACTATTTTCAATGATTACATCATTGGAGCTCTCTCTGAATTCTGGAAAAGATACAAAATGTGTTCGTGCCACCACACCATACTCTCTGCGAGTGTAGTTAACAGGAGGGGACTAAAGTGAAATTGTAATAAATTGATTTTTGACAAGGGTAGACTTTTGGTTCAGGGGTGATGTAAATCATCTACAGCACATATTTACCAGTACCTTAACTGAGTGTGAAGGATATACAGTGATATATGTCCGTGGGAAGAAGTTCCATATTGCCCCTTTTCAAGCTAAGCAACTAGTCCCAAATTCAGCCCCTGTGGGGGTTACAATCGAGAGCGGGTATGAGTGATAGATGTTTCTTTTATGCAGTTCTGTTTATTTACAAAGAATGTACAAAGTACTATTTCCCTGAACCCAGGAGGAATCAAACTGTTTCCTACTATTTATTTACTCACAGCTCAAAGCCCCTTTCAGCAACGTCTTCCTGGGTTCCTTGCAGGATCAGCCAGTATGTTTTGGCCTGCACCATTAGCCTCTCTGACCTCGGTTTGTGTGTATTTTCTTATCCCACTCATCTTCACTGTTCCTCAAAACAATACTCAGTCACAAGCTCCTGACCAGGTTCACACAGGGGTAGGGGAGGTCTTCTGCTTACAGTTGTGTTAATTAAAGGGTTTAAATTAAATTAATGGAGATTGCCTATCTCCTAGAACTGGAAAGGACCTTGAAAGGTCATTGAGTCCAATCCCCTGCCTTCACAGCAGGACCAAGTACCATCCCTGACAAATTTTTGCCCCAAATGACCTCCACAAGGATTGAACTCACAACCCTGGGTTTAGCAGGCCAATGTTCAAACCACTGAAGTATTCCTCCTCCCTAATTAATTCACATATTCTATATAATATATGTGAATAGTTAATTCACATCTACTATTCTAAAGGTGGTTTTAACTCAACCCCTAACAAGGTTTCACCCAGCTCTCAACAGCAGCAACAAGCTCTGAAATATGAATAATTTCTTAGTAGACTAAGATCTTAAATTTTATTGTACCTGTGGCTTTGTGTAAAGGATTATTAGAAGCCAATCTACAACTGGTTTTTAATACTAATTTTTATATAATATCAAGCAATATTAGGGGGACATTTTGGGTCTATATTAACTCTCTTCCCTCAAGCCTTCTCTACCTGCTTTTCTCTCCTTCGGAGTGTCAGATGCACAGAACAATTTGGCTCTGTGTTCTTTGTTAATTGGTATGTCATCTGGTCCTCTGAGACCTCTCTTCAACATGATCGCTGTTTTATTGAAGTGGTTTGAGTGATGTGTTAAATGATGAAAGCAAGGACAGTGGCTTAGAAAAAAAAGTCTCAAGAAAGGTGAAGAAGATGCTCAAAGAGCCACACAAGGTCACAGTCATTAAAGTAACACTATCTATTGACTTGGTGGTTGGTGGTACAGTACTCTGGGCTCCTGTTGATGAAGCAGAGAGTACGGCTAGAGTTTATTCTAGGATTTTAAAATTGTCTCAACTCACTATTTTTTTTCTACTATCTGAAAACTTATGCTATTATGCTAGCATTTAGAGCACATTGATTGACAAGAAATAATATACAGTGTTGGGCCAAGATACTGAAGGCTGTTTTGATATATGATTAAACTCAGTTGATACTATTCATCAAATTGTATTTAGTCTAAATATAAAAAATAACTGAATTTCTTCGCTAGCTCAGTGGTTTTCAAACGACAGGTCGTGACCCAGCACTGGGCAGTGGGATATTGGGCACTGGGTCTCGTTGCTGCAGGGGGTCAGGTGAGCAGTGGGGGGGGGGGGCCGAAGGACCACAGACTGCGCTGCGCCCTGCCCCAGAAGTGTCCGGCAGCAGGCCCGGCTCCTAAGTGGGGGGAGCGCACAGGGTTCTGCGCACTGCCCCTGCTCCAAGCACTAGCTCCGCATTCCCATTAGCTGAGAACCTGCTGCTGGCTGCTTCTGGGCACAGCATGGTCTGTGGTGCCAGGAGAGGAGGAAGCTGCCTTAACACCCCCGCTGCACTGCTAAGCGGGAGCTGCTTGAGGTAAGCCCCTCCTGCCCCAGCCCTGATCCCTCCCCCAAAGCCAGAGCCCCCTCTCCCAAAGCCAGAGCTCCCTCCTCCTCAGCCCCACCCCGGAACCCACACTCCAGTCAGATTACATTGGGTCACAGCATCAGCAATTTCCTTCAACAGGGTCGCAAGAAAAAAAGTTTGTAAACCACTGCGCTTGGAGTGCTGTGGGTAATGGACGACTGGTTCCCTTTCAAGTTTAAGACCACTGTCCCAGATGTCTGCTAGCTGATTTTGAAAGTGGGCACATGCAACAAGTTAACCTGGATGAACCCATCTTGCTGGGTAATGAACACCCGCAATTCCCACTGAAATAAAAGGAGTTGAAGGCAGTTGGCATCTCACAGAATCAGTCTACCTTTGCAGAGGAAAGGACACATTATTTGCTCATTTGTGGGGCGTGTGCATTTTTTTCTTTTAAAAAGGTGCATTAATTTGGCACGTAATCCATATACTCTTTTTGGCTGTTTCTTAGTAAATAATGTGTGTATTTTCATGAGGGTTTTAGCAGTAGTTCTATTTGCCTGCTTTTTGGTTGACAAAGCAAGATTATTTTAAACCAGTGGCATTGCTGTCACTGCACTGAAGACTGAGTCAGCACTTTCATTATAAAAAATGAGGGCTAAATTGAAGTGCAGTTTGCAATCAGTGTTCTTCAGAGAACTGTGCTTGGAAGATAGAGGATAGTTTGCATGATCCAATAGCTGTTTTCTCACTCTAATTAATATGATTCCAAGCCTAGTTTATGGGGTTACCATCTAAGGGGAACATCAGTGCTACCTAATGAAAATAAAACATATTTTGTTGGGTTTTTTTACATAATGAGAACTCTTGTCTTTTTAGAATCATGGAACACTGGAACTGGAAGGGACCTCGAGAGGTCATCAAGTCCAGTCCCCTGCCCTCGCGGCAGGGCCAAGCACTGTCTAGATCATCCCTGACAGCTGCCTGTCTAACCTGCTCTTAAATATCTCTAGTGATGGGATCTCACAACCTCCTTAGGCAATTT